CACTGACCACCACCTTTGTCATCATCATCATGATTATCACCATCAATAACAACACCATCATCATCAGCTCAATCATCATCATTACCCACATCAYAACCATCATTATCATCATTACCATCATCATCATCAATAACACCATCACCATCGTCATCAGCTCAATCAACATCATTACCCATAACCATCACAACCATCATCATCATCACCATCCCCATCACCATCATCATCATCATCATCAYCAYCATCAWCAACAACAMYACCACCACTACCCTCGAAAAACAARRWGMATTTAAGGACCTACACRCGTGGTGTTCGTTATCAAACTGACCTGATTCATACAACATTCCAGGGGAAGGTTTTAGAGTAATTTCCTCACTGCTTATCTCTAGATCAACAGGAACAACCTCTGCTAACACGATGATATGCTGATGGTGATTCCCATTGATAGTGTAATCTACACTCCTGTACAGGGAAAAGAAATATAACTCAAGATCACTCTAGACTACTTGGACGACGTGCGGGCCATCTTGAATCGCAAGACATTTTGGGTCGCCCAGGGGGCAAAAAAAACACAAAGATACACAGTATGCTCTCTAACTCATTCAGGGACGGATCCAGGAATTTTAGAAGTGGGGTGACTATTACGAAAAATTTCCCAGAAATTCGGGCTGACTGTCACCCCTTTTACCACCCCTGGATCTGCCCCTGAGTAATGTTTTTTGTACCTCTCAAAGTGTCCTTTAGAGTTAGACTCAAACATGAGGGTGAGTTTAGCAAGAGATCGTGGAGGAACAACCTGGGATAGAGGTGACGTCTGCCTCAACTCACGACTGTCAATCTGAAATGTTGGCAAAGATTAGAATCAATTAAAGCTGTGAAAAAGAGAGGCTAGAGACATTTTAAAATTTTTGGTTGTCCAATACTATAAACTATACTATATATTTAGTAACTGCTACTAAATGAGTGCGTTACCTCAGAGATCTTAATCCCCTATCTGGTTAGAAAATTGATGGGGTGGCGCTAATAGAGGTTTTGCACCATCACGTGACGGCAGCCATGTTAGATGGCAGGAATTCAATCCCCAAGAGCAAAGGGATTCTATTGTTCTGCCATCTAATCACAGGCAGTCCAAGCTGTATTATGGGCGTGGGCACATGATGATGCAAAACCTCTATACACAATCTTGTTACACATCATACGATTAGGCACCACAGGAAACCCATCTCAGAATGAAAGATTGTTAAACGCCGTTACATTTGACTCACGCTCTGGGGTGCAGCTTTCCCCTACACACTACATACATATGCAGACTAACGTTATCCTTACCCTTGCTACAATGTGAATATAGCTATCCAGGTTATTTACGATCATGAGATCTTTACTGCTGACTGAATGAAGACATACTTGACCAAAGTCAATCAGAGATGGACCTAGAAAATAGAGGGGGAGGGGTGGTTAGATAATGAAAGTACATCCACTTATACAATCATA